TTCCTTACCAGTTAGAGTATTTTTTTCATTTTTTCTCTGAGAGCCACGAGAAAAGAGGTGAATGCCTCTAGTTCGTATCTATTCGAACTTTCTTCTACATTGGCATCTTTCACATTTAGCCCGAATACGTTTGAAAGGTGGATGTCATGTTAAATTTTGTTTGTGGCAGTTTGTTCCATTGTGTTATTTCTGAAGAAGACGTAGTATATATCTTGAAACTCCGCTTGTAAGTCACGTTTTGAAAACTACAAATTAAAAAATAGATCGCATTCCTGTACTTCTTAAAATCAGACCGTATACAAAGGAAAAAATGATAAAAATGCCATGGTTCCTGATTTGTGATTTTAAAGCCTTAGATGTTCAGTGCCAGTCGTAACAAGGCCCGCATCCAAATAAATCGATGGGTTACATTTCGTTCGTACGGCACAACTCGCGAGCACAGGCTTGGTAATTGGGGGTTGATCATTTGATCGGAACTGCGTTTACGGAATCAGTCGAACGAAAGTTTTCGATCAAACAAAAAAACTGCACATCAAAACACGATCTCATTGACATTGGATGACTATTTTTTTCTTTCTCGAATGAATAACCACGAAAGTTATGAAAAATCCAGCAGTTGTCGAGGTTTTGTGAAATTTTGCACTACCTTTACTAAGGCGAGCTTGCACGCGTTGGGACCTCGTAGGTGGCTCTCTTGAAAGATACATGAATCATTTATCACTAGATAGCGTGACAGCTCGTGACTCTGGTTCCCCTGTAAAACACATCTTAAAAGTTACCAAGCAGTGGATACGCGCTTAACAGTCCTCGTGTGTATACGTATACACAAATGAGTAGGTGCATCGCACACGGCAACAATCCGGTGAACCGAAGAGAGTAATCGAGGTGTGAGGGGGGGGGAGAGGAAGCAGACACTCTCGTTCCACTGTCCTGGACGCATGGGGCGCCCTTGACCCGGCAGCTCGACGGAGATGGGGCGACTGGAGGGTGGGCTCGCTGCACACGTGCATACATATACGCACCGTGTACGTATGGGGTCGTGTATGATTTCGCGTCAGCGCAACGGCGGAAAAATTAAGGAACGGACAATGATATGGTTTATTAATGTCAAGGTTGATCGGGGCTTAACGCGACTGGAGGGGTTTTGCGCGCTTGCTCGCGCGTGCATGCTCCACCGGCCGGGGGTGAAGGTCTGTTTTCCACTCGGTTTGTTTATGTTTGTTATTGCAGCTTATAAGTTGTTTTTTTTTCTTTTTTTTCTTTTTTTTTTTTTTTTTTTTTTTTTTTTTTTGGGACACGGTTTCAATGGGATTCCAAATTGATTTGGGGGGAAAATTACTTTTGAAACAGGAGCTACATGCGCATGTCGCAGCTGTGGTGCTTGATTCGTTGCTGCTGATCACCCATTGTTTTACATCCATCCACCACATCCGTACAAGCAAAATGACGTTTCCGATTGTTTTTAGGGTGTAAAAAAAAAAGATTACTAAATATGAAAAAAAAAAAAAAGCTAAAACAAAGAAAATATGTAATATAAAAATAGACTAAGCATGTAAACGTAAACTCTGAAAAAAAAAAAGAAAATGTAGGACATACGAGTGCGTGCAGCATCGTTTTTATTTCGCACGCATACTATTTAACCGGACAACCTTCAGTCGAGTAGTGAATTTTATCAGATTTTCGAGAATACAAGCCTAAATCAGGATAGATGAGCCAGAATTTGATCAGGCGTGCAACACGCCTAAATAATTACTTGAAATTCAAGTACACTCCACAATCGAGCTTTTAATATTCATATATATCTGCGAGGACATGCGTATACGGAAATAGAGCCCGTTGAGAATATATCAAAATTTATGGAGGCAGAGATAGAAATAGATGACAAACGATTCCTTTATCTTTTCAATCAAGCACGATATGGTTCGGATATTCAATAAGTAGATAAACCAGTGTTATTGTATCAGACGTGTAACTCTCCCTAAATGTGTGGGTGTCGAAATTCAACTTCACCTCTCTTTGTCTCGATTTTTCTGAGGATTCTTCTGACGACGACAATCGTGTCTTGAAAAATAAACATCAGTATCTAAATCCTGGATTCCCGTCAAAACGGGTACATCCAATGAGCTCGACTCCAATGTTTTTCTAAGAGTTCTAAATGTATTTCCCTGCAAAAAAAATAAACAGTTAGTCAATAAGTCAAGCACGTGTTGAATGTTGAATATTTTCGTGGCTCATAAATCATGTTTGCCTCTGGGTATCAGCTCGCCCCTCCTGACCCCGATCCAGCCTCAAAGCCGTCGAGAGAGAGCACGAAACTCATCATCCATTGAACAGATGGGGCTGAAAATAATAAAGTTTAATATCGGCGCTTGCGTGGATAACTTGCGAAAGGAATATCGAAGACGACCGGCCTAGCAAAATTCATTTGAAAATTTCATCACGCGCTGCGAGAGCGGCGAGAATCCTCGACCCTGATGCACTCGCGCGGCGCTGTTTCTGGGAATGCAATATCGCGCTAACCTCGCGTTTTCAAAATAAAGGCTTGGATGATGCAAGTTGAGCTTGACTCCACTTGAAGTTATTTTTTACCACATCCTGGAAATTTTCAAGCGCTTTGCGTGGCTCTGCGTGGCAAAAGCGATGACATAGCCCTGTCCTTTACCATCAAGCTTTTACTAATTAAAATTAACTCTTGCGGCAAAGGCTCGTGATAAAAACATGTGCAGGGACACGCGATGGTTATCATCTTTGGGTAAGCGTGGAAGACAATTGTTTTTTTTCAAAAGAATTTTCTCTCGGACGCTTTATCAGTGAAAGAAGGAAATAAAATGCTCGCACAAAGCTTTTTTACACTCTCATTTCTTTGACAATTTTTTTCTATGTTCTAATTAGATTAAAACACTTTCTTTTTTTTTTTTTTTTTTTCTTTTAATTTTTCAACCCGGTTAACCATTTTGTAACACAGCTATACTGGTATTCTCACAAATTACACTAATTTTTCTTCGATCACAACTTCAAAGCATCCGGGCCTGATTAAATACTTCAAAAACTCGTAATAAAGTTTTTTCATTTGCCCCATGTAATGAAGGCAAAAAGAGGAGAGAAAAAAAACTGGACCAAAATTGTTCCTTGAAATTTTGAAATTACACTGGACGAGATCCAATTATTAAACTGTGACGTAGAAAACACGGATTTATAACTAAACGTTATTGTAAGATTCGTCCGTCTCGGGGGGGGGGGGGGTGTAAAAAATTACCAAAACAGTTTGACACGGTTTTCGCTCATTTACACTTTAAACTTTGACGGGTCAGAGGAAAATCAACCTATGTTCGCTTCAGGCGCTTCGAAGCGAGTCAAGGGCGAAAACTTTGAAAGGTGCAATTAAAGTTTGGAAAATACTCTTCTCTCAGAGAAGAAGGAAGAGCCCAACCGTACGCTCCAGTTGAGACTCTCGTTACTCGCGTTCACGTTAATTTACAATTTCGACAATCTCGGAAGCACAAATTTTTCTCGTACCTCAACTATCCTCATTTCTATACTTTTACCAGTTTTTTTTTTTTTTCCCCTTGTAGTCGACGTACAATCTCATGATCGGTGGCTTCCATTACGTAAAATGGAAAAATGAATTGCCATCAGCATAATTGGATTGGCATATGAAAAAAAAAAAAAAAAAAAAAAAAGAAAAAAGGTTGAGTTAAACTGCTCGACACGGACGTAGATTAAATGAAAAAGTAATCGAATACGTTGATTAAACTTCCGTGCTGGGAAATAAAAATATTTCATCCGTGAAAATGACTCGGACAGCCCACGATGCCGTACAAGTCGAAGCGAAGCCTGTGCGAGAGTCCCTGCGGCGTCACGCGAGATCCATTCAACAAGTAGCCAAGTACACGTATATATATTATTACCTCGGTCGTTTTAAAAGTAATCTCCAGCAGCAGCCGGTACATTTGCGTCCGCCCACTCTCTGCGTTCGCAGGCGTATATGGATACAGAGTACCGGCGGCCCTGTCTGGAACCCACGCCTCTGGGAAAAAAAAACGAGAAAAAAAAACTTGCAGGCGCGCGAAAAATATCAAAATAGCCCGTGCAGCCCGCCGGCAAAAAACATTGCGAAAAAAAAAAACAAAAAAAAAAAACGAGAGAGATCTCTCTTACGCTAAACAAAGGGAGCCCCCACTCTGCTTATCCACGTGGTATGATGATAAGCGGCGCGGGTAGTAGCACGTCCAATATGATCTGTCAGTGACGCGTGACGGTGCCAGAGAGCACCGATTGACTCATCAGGAGCCATACGAGACTACTGCCCAGAACAATAGAGCATAGGTATGTACCTTATAGATATATGTATAATATATTATATTATGCATATAATCGTTATTATAGTACACCAATGTTAATCGTGTATATATATATACATCCACGACATCACCCACTCGGGCTATTTTCGTACCTCGTGTATAGTCATAATATGTATTAGATGGGTGCTGCTGTTGCTCTGCTCGGGTTTTCAGTAGTAAAGCCAGTGGTACGGTCAGACGGAGGATCGAGCTGGCTGATGGCACCCCCCCCCTCCCAAGAGGAGGCAGCCGGTCTACGCACAGTCGCACACCCTGGCCAAAATCGACGCATGCGTGTCGGCTTCTCTCTCTCTCTCTCTCTCTCCTCACCCTCGTTTTAGTAAGGGAGAGCAGGTATCACTACACCATCAGGGAGAAACGATAGCAGCAGGTAGGTACACGTACGTGTAGTAGATGTATATGCACCTACCGAGGCTCGCTAGGGGATAGGGTACGTAAAAAGGGGAAAAAAAAAATAAATAAATGAATAAACAAGGGGGGTGGGGGAGAGTGACGCGCGTGTATGTGATGTTCTGTGCATCGGAGGCTCGTCGCGCGTGTACCTACCAAGCAGCCTTGGCTCTCTGCGTCTGCAGGCGCGGCGGCGACGTAGCCGGCACGAGTGGGGGATGGGTGGGACGGCGCTTCTCTGTTCATCGGTCCTGTTTACCAGGCGCTTCAGTTCGCGTCGCGCCTCCTACCCGAGACACGCGCTCCGTCTAACCGCGGACTACAACCACCGTGCCCGGCTGCCGCGATTTCATCTACATTAATAACAACGATAACCTGTCCGCGCGTATAAAAAAAAAAGAAAAAAAAAAAAAAAAGCAGCCCTGTCCACTCTTACTCCATACGTGTACGCGTACGATGAACACTGCAACTGGTTGCCCGAGGCTCGTCCACGCGTGCATTGCATTGTACTCGCCTGCGATCGAAAGCGATGGTACAACGTATAATATGCGTGCAAAAGAGGTCATAAGCCGCGGTACGGAGGAACGGACAGGCTAGAGTGCAGGCTCTGACAATCACAATTGTAAATATTGCATCTGGGGTGATTCCCTCGCGAGGGGAAGTAAGGGGGAGCAGGAAGACCGAGGACAAGCAGAGATAATGGACAAAGCGATGGCAAAGAGATAGTGCCGAGAAGAAGGAGGAAGAGGCGAACGACGGTATACAGCCTATACGGACGGGCAACAGGTGAGCCTCACTCTCTTCTCCCGGGGCTACACGCCAATATATAGATGACAAAAGGCGCGTCTCTGCAACTATGGCACTTACTCGGAATAATAATAATAATAATAATAATAATGATACTTGATAAATGTTTATGGTTTTTTTTTGTCATGGGGGTGGGTGGTATTTTTCACTCTGTGAATGTACGACGTGAGTTGGCGGTTACACGTAGTAACCAACGATTCTCTGCAACAACTTTCCCCGTGGAGAGGCGAACGTAGTATTTGATTCATCCGTTAGCTTTCGTTTGGTTATACATACGTGTACAATCGAGGTTACTCGGTTATTTTACCTCAAGGTAATGTACGATATGCGTATACAGTTAATTTTTATTGGAGTGTGGAAGATAGTCAAGACTACGATTTCTCTCGATATTTGACTTTGACAAAACTTGAAAGTTTTTGATTATGTATATCGAGTGGCCAATGTATTGATGTGTATCGTTACAGTTTGTTCGTTCATCTCTCCAATTTTAGATGAAACATTATCGAAAGGCCCTGTCTCTCGTAATTCTCGTACATGTGCGTTGTATTTTAGCGATGACAATTCGACAGGAAAAGGTTTGCGCTGCATAAAAAATGAATATGGAGAGACTGATTTTACCTTGTTCGCTTTTTATCTATGCCCACGAATTTCGCACTTTCCCCGCTCACCGTCTTCGAGGCACAACTTTGATTAAAAAGTCCGGTGGACAACGGTAGGTAATCATTAAACAGGCTTTCCCATTCAAAACATCCTATAGGAAGGGGCACTCGGGCGTTGCAATAAAATTACGTATATAAATGAAAAAAAGAGTCCCTCCCCCACCTTCACCCCGGCCCGGGCGATTCCCTTTCTCATTAGAGCGACGAGTAGTTTCCCGCTGGCACACCCCGTACATCCACCGCAGCTTCGAAATACAATTACGGGATACAGGTACTGCGCTCCGCTCGTCCCGAGAATCGCGCGTATTAATTTTAGCGGACGCTCACGGGGCGGAAACTTTATTTTCATCGGTGGCGTGCATGGTGCAGCCCGTAGCCCGTGAAAAATGATCCTGCAAGCGCCCCGGATATGCTCGAGCTCGTTTTTTTTTTTTTTTTTTTTTTTTTTTTTTTTTGTTCGCTCGGATGACTCGATGAATACTTCATGGCACGTGGGATGAGGGGCAAATTTCATTTCTCCTCACGAATTAGGCGAGGGCCGAGCGAATGCTAAATAATATTACACGTCGGGAGATGCCCTGTTTCGCTTCCATATCCTGATTTTCCTCTCATTGTCTTTTTCTTTTTTTTTTTTTTTTTTTTTTTTCCTCCCCGAGGTTATAAAGGGAATGGTTGCTTGTACGCACATTTTTTTTGTCTCGGGGAAAGTTTCACCGTCGTTTCGCTCGCCATTGGAAAAAAGTGCATTTACAATAGATGCTCATCTGGCAGCTCCAAAGAGCGAGCGTAGAAAGTTGTTCAAAGCACCGATCCTCTTTTTTTTGGACCGCTTCGCTAATTATTTCGGAACAAAGTACGCCAACATCATCCCGTGACTTTGCATTCTGCGTCGTATACCATCCAAGACCTCCCCCCCCTCCCTTTAGCCAACAGGAAACACGAAAGCCGACATCTCTGTTGGAGGTGGAACGAATGGCGACGATATCATTTAGTAACGAGGAAAAGCCAAAGGAAAAATACTTCCATTGCACACGAACTTGTGCGTTACTCTATATTTTTTTTTTTTTTTTTTTCGAATAGACATAAATGAAAATCACCCTGAAATTGCACTTTTTTGGCTCATTAAGCCGTGATTCCTTACTGTTTCGTCATTATCGACACGGGCGACAGCAACTGCATCATCATCACTAACTGTTACCATCGAACGGATACAACAATCATTTGTGAGGAAGGACACGGCATAAATTGATGATTATCAAACCAACGTAAATTAGTTTCTCTAGTGTAGGATTAAATAAACACGAGTGGGTAACTGCTCGGTCTTTAACTGTAACCCACACCCATCAACGGGCAAATTACGTATTTAATTACTCAACTTTACTTCCTGGAATACTAAATAAGCTACTTAAAATATAAATACTTATTTATAAAAAAAAAAAAAAGGTTGGATTGCCGTGTTTGTTATTTTGTATTTACAATCAATTTAAGCAGTTGAATACAATGAGTCGGTAGAATTAAAAGTTGAACGACAAAATGCTAATTTAAAAAAAAAAATTGTAATTAAAATGTAGTATAAAGTTATAAGTGTCTTTTTGAAATTGCAGTGTTTTATTCTTATTAAGTTGTATCTATTTGTAACTTTGATAATTGCTTGTCTACTGTATATTTACAAATACTGTGTTTTTTTTTTTTTTTNTTTTTTTTGATAAATATTGAACAATCCAATAACTTATAACTTAAATAACTTGAAAAATTAACTGTATTGTTTTAGAATAAAAAATGAAACGTGATTGTCCAGATCGATCAACAAATGTGTTCATGCGATAAAAACTGCATTCCGCTGCCTACATGCACTGAATCACCGTACCGTAATGACGATGTAGTGGCAATTGAATTTTTCTTTCCAATTTTCCTCGCGCGATCGATGGACTTTAAATTTGCTTGGGGCTGGGCAAATATCAATTTTGGCCAAAGTGAATTTTGAATTTGACGCCGGCCGAACCACTCGGCAAAAACTGAAATTGCAATCACCCCTGCGTACACCCACTCTCTCCCCCAAACGGTGTTACTTCCCACCAGTGTGAGTCAAAAAAAAGGAACTTTCACTTCCAACCGAGAAAAAAAAAAAAATCAAAGGGCGATCCAAAAATGAGAAATCAACGAGGTTTTCGCCCGATCACGCAAATTGTAGCAACGTCGAAGCGAGCCAAAGCAATAAAAAAAAATGACACAGCTACCACTCGGCGTAAACTGCAAGGCTCCTGTCTCTTTGTCGTTTGTTTCGAGGTTTTGTGGGCGCCCACTTTTGAGCAAACGATGAATACAAAGGGGATCGACATTCTTTTCCTCAATTAGAGGGCAAACGCGGGCGAGGTACGGTCGTTTGGTGCCACCGCCGTGGAACTGATGAAAAGGCCCGGGAAGTGCCGCTCTCGCTCGTCCACCTTCACCCCCTTGCACCCAAGGTATAATAGCTGTTCCCCTGTACGTATATGCATGTATATAACTGTTGTGTGGCATGTCAACTACTCCATGTATTTACTCACCTACCGCGCGTACAAGCTTCTCTCCCTCTGATATGCGCCCACGGGGTGTACCGTTAGAGCCTAGCCATTACTTACCTATGGATAATAACAATGGCGAGGACGATGCGATGGAGCGCTCAATTTACGTCTCTGTAGATACACACATACCTATACACGTCAAATTTTTTCGCACTAAGTGATTGAGTATATATAGAAACGAGCCATCACTGGACGTGCTATCGTTATCATTGCTACAATATCATCAAGAGGTACAGGTAGACGCGGTTTCCAGTAGAAAAGTCAGGATTTGGTCGGACGTGACGAGGCGAAAGTTCAGATCCCTCGGCAACGGTCGGTGGTGGTCCAAAAGTTGTTTCAGCGTACATATACGCCACTATGTATGAGCTCTTGCGCCACCTAAAATAGATCATCGAGAGCGAGGCTTGCGCGGCCAAACGGAGAAAGTATTCCCTGTTAAACGGGATGAGTTTTGGCCGCGCACTGTACAGGTATATATATAATAAACATCGGCGCCAAAGTAAAATCCCGTGCCGTGCGCGCACGATGAAACGTGCTTGAGAAACCGCACCGCGATGCCGTTTGCTGATTTTATTAGAAACTTTTTGCGTCGGAGGCGGTGGTGGTAGGTATAACGGGCAGTGCGTTTTTCGTAACCTTGACACGGCGTGTAAACATACATACAGATACGCGTATACCTGCGTACGGTGAGGGGGAGGGGGGCAGTTCGCGCGCACGTGTCGTATACGCGAGCGGCGTGCGCAAATGTAGAGGAAAAAGGGGGGGAGGGGGTCGAGAGCGAATTTCGTTGAGTGAAAGATAATAGCTGAATTCGGGGGGTAGTGGAACAAGCTCGAGAGCTTAAAGGGGGAAAGAAAGAAAAGTTATTGAGCCAGCCAAGGGGGGGCAAGTAAGAACATCCCTTGCCATACTTGACTTCGAAACGCCGAGAAGCGGGTCCAACCGACGCGCATGTGTGTACACGTAGAAAAAAAAAATTGACATGCCATGCGGGGAGTATGAGAGATAAAGGGACAAACGGGGCGGAAGCTAACATGGGAAATGTGATTATGTTCCCAACAAGGGATACGGTGAATCGTTGCGTGTATAAAAATATCCTTCTGAAAATTGGCCCTTTCAAATGTTTCGCTGATGCGTACAAGTGTGTAAGTACGTGTCCTCGCTCGGCGCATCTCGGGAAGACGTTTCCCCCCCCAAGCAACGAGATCTCAATGGTTGTCGAAGCCAACAGCAGCAACGCGGTACCATCGGATCGATATGCTCCATATACGTGTGTACATCTCGTGTACGCAACACGCAACCACGCGACGCTAAATCTAAGTTTGCGCGATAATTAACGATATTAGTTTGTGCCCTCATTGGAATTTATCGCCCGAGCGTATGATCATATGCGCGTACGAAATTGTTGTGGTACAATCAAGGCCATTTGCTTTTTCCTTTTACCCACCCGTAAATGTATACGAGCGGAGGAGAGAGAGGGTTGTTGACTTGATGGCCGGGGCATGGATGGAAGGGGGAAAAAAAAATTGGTGTAACGAGAGGGGCCGTATTATATGTAGCGTTGGACAAGGTATATAAATATATACGTGACGTCGAAACGGAGAGGCGTGCGCGGTGTATATATATACGGTCACCCTATACACCGACGATATTGTTACACCTGTAGGGGAAAAAAACAAAACGGGTTGTATACGCGAGTACTCACAGGCGCCCGTGGATATAGTCCCGTGCGTGACCGCCTTTCCGTCTCTTGTGT